AAAAAGAGGGAGATGTGTCTGAATAAACATAAACATGCAGAGAGGGTAGGAAAGAGAGAAAGGTCTGAATAAATGAAAACATATGCAGAGAGAGGATGGCGAGGTCATGAAACCATCGCTCCATCTATAATAATAAATAACAAAAGATAATATGGGGTTTTTGTCATTCTACGAAGGCGTTCGAGCCTGAAAAGTGTGTGTCTGTGAGTGTGTAGTGGCAGAGTGGGAGAATGCGATTGATAGATGGATCTGCAGCTGGAGAATACTAAAAAGCACAAATTGTTCATGGAAAAAGCTTATACCCAAAAAGCCTCAAATTGTGTGTGTGAGTGCGGGAACGCCATCTCTCTGAGGGCTCGTATTATGTTAACCACTTAGACCAACATCAAACACACTCTCCATCACTCGCACACACACTTCAGTACAAGCGTGAAGGTGCCAGCCATATAAATAGGACGTCCCAGAGCGAGAGGTATAAAGACAGAGAAAGAGAGAGGGGGGGGGGGGGGTTAGAACAAATTATAAATTCAAAGGGGAAGAGTAGAGAGAAAAACTGAGAGGGCAAGAACAGGAGGGGGGGATAGATATGAAAGGATCAATAGATGGCATAAAGTGTATGTTCATTGATTTACTTACAGGGAGAGAGGGATGGAAAGAGAAAAAGGGAATGGGGGAGGAGAGGATACAAAAGAACAGAGGCAAAAAGAGGGAGAGAACGAGGGGGAGTCAGTAAAGAGGAAACAACAAATCAGAGCTATCGAGCAAAGGACTGTGTGATGCATGGAGACCTCATTCAAGCCGCACTAATCAATAGATGAACAAGGGGTCAAATGATGATGTGTAGCGGCAAAGAGGTCAGTGTCTTTGAGCTAATTACTCTCCTTTTACACTAACTACACTCTAATTCCTAAGAGCAGAATACTAAATCAAATCCAATTGGATTTATAAAGCCCAATGTCACAACACACATTGTCTCAGGGGGATTTACAGTGTGTACGGATCAACATAAATGAATGACAGTGTGAACAAACTAATTACAATAAAACAATCCAATTGACAACATGTTTAGGTAATTTAAAATAAAAGTAGAATAAATAAATATAGGAGGATGTTCAAGGTAAGCCTGAGCCAGCCCTAACTAATATAGCACTTGTCTAAACCAAGTTACAAAGTGATTTATAAAATACACGAGGATAATGTTGGTTCAAAGATAAGTTACCAAAAAAAAAACACAAAAAATGTCAACAGCAAATAGTGAAACTGCATTTCAGCCGTCATGATTATTCTTTAATCCTATTTTACAGAGATTTAACTGTTCGTTTATCTGTTGGCGCTTTAACTAATCTTAAACTGCCGGGATCTCTGGCTTCAAGCTTTCTCTACTGTTCTATTTTCTATATTAGCTCCTTGTAATTCCTCTGTGCTTATGTGTGCACCGCTATTCAACAAAGCATGTGTGTAACACCTACTTGGCAATAAACCTGATTCCGACCATCAGGCCCTGAGTTACAGTGAACTAGACACTGAGAGAGAGACTACATATGTCAAGACTGACGGACAGAGAGAGAGAGAGAGAGAGAGAGAGAGAGAGAGAGAGAGAGAGAGAGAGAGAGAGAGAGAGAGAGAGAGACAGGTTGAAACAGAGCATGTGGAACAAACAGACAGACAGAGAGAGAATGAGTATGTTTGTGTGTGTGTGAGAGAGAGAGACAGAAGTGTACTCAAATAGCTCAGGGCAAGGTGACGAACGGACAGAGAGGGATAACAAGCGCACAGAGGGGGGAGTGTGTGTGTGTGTGTGTGTGTGTGTGTGTGTGTGTGTGTGTGTTAGAGAATGAGAGAAAAGGGAAGAGACAGAGGGCGGAAGGGGGAGAGGGATAGAGGAAGTTGAGAGAACAAAAACAAAAACAGGGAGTGTGTGTGTGTGTGTGTGTGTGTGCGTGTGTGTGTGTGTGTGTGTGTGTGTGTGTGTGTGTGTGTGTGTGTGTGTGTGTGTGTGTGTGGACAGCCAAAGGTGTCAGTGTGCTATTTGGCTTAATGATGACCCACTGGGCATGTAGGTCATAACGGTTTGAGGCTCAAAGCTATGACTGTATGCCTGTGTGCATTCATCAGTGAGTGTGTGTGTGTGTGTGTTTGAGTGTGTGTGTAAATAGGCGCACGTATGCAAAGTGGGTCTCTTAGCGTGTGTTTAAGAGTGTGTATGGTCAGAGGTTGGAGAAGCAGTTTTTCTAGCCGATAGGACTCAATAGATACTTGGATGATACACACACATACACTCACTCACACACACACACACACACACACACACACACACACACACACACACACACACACACACACACACACACACACACACACTTGTGCACCCACACATTCTGCAAATCCAGGTTTGGGCGTCTAAACACACACACCAACAGCTGCCCTTCATGTCATACATGCACATGTAATTCACCATGCAAGCACTAAATTATGCACGGACACACACACACACCACACACACACACACACACAGACACACACACACACACACACACACACACACACACACACACACACACACACACACACACACACACACACACACACACACACACACACACACACACACACACACACACACAAAAGCACACACACGGGGAAGCTATTATGCTCTCAGGCTGGAGTGTTTTGATGGTATAATTGCAGTGACCAGTGTGGATAAAAAGACAGAGGGAGGGATGGAGAGAGGGATGGGGATGGAGGGAGAGTAAAAGAGGAGAGTGCTGACACTCTCAGCATGCTAATGTTGCGAGGCTCTACCCCCCCTCGATTTCATCCCCCCCTCCCTCCCTCCCTCCATCCATCTCTTTGTCTCTCCATCTTTCCTCTCTATCTCACATCCTCTGCATTTCACAGGTGCAGCACTAGAAAGAGGGAGAGAAAGGTAGAGAGGCGGAGGGATGAGAGGAAAAGAGGGGTGTATAACAGGATGGAGCAATGTTATCTCTCGCTTTCTCTGCCATCCCTCCATCCTCTTCAAGCTCCCCACAATGCTGAAAAACAAAGCGAAAAACGGGAGGATGAAAACAGAGGAAGAGGGAGGGTCAGTGTTTCCATCCCTCTTTAACAATGGAGGGATGATCTCTGCTTATCCTCTAATCACGGCCCTCCTTTTTTCCTCTCCTCCGTTATCGCTTGCTCCCCACAAACCCCTGATTTTTCTCATCTGGTGAGAGAAAGGGTAGCCTTTTCCTCACTCGGCCCCTCTTTTAGCCGCCTCTCCATCTGTTTGTCCTTCCATCCCTCTCTCCTCTCCAGAGAAGGGATTTTGTATGGGACTGATCTCTTTCCTCTTTTCATTTCCTCTTTGCATCCCACTCCATCAAACCCTTTCCTATTTTGTTGAAATAGCAAAAAAGGAAACCTCTCAAAGGCCGGATTTTTTAAGATATAATCTCAAATCTGCACATTTGAACTAATCGTAATATGGTATATTATCTGGAAATACATCTTCTCAAGATGGTACAATTTGAGTTATTTGTTACTTTACACAGTTAGATTATTTGTTCAACATTCTAATGAACCACATTGTGACATATCAAACAAAGTAAAAGTGTGTGATGAACACATGAATCCATCAATAATCACAATGCAGTCATTTATAATACATCATTTTAAATTGGTCATTAGGCTTAGCAAGTACTTTTGTAAGTATGTTTAAATGTTAAGCCTTTTTACTTTAACTTAAGTAAGATTTGAATGCAAGACTTTTACTTGCAACAGAGTGTTTTCACAATTTGGTACTTGCTTTAGTATAAAATCTTCTTCCACCTCTGCATATGAGATATGATATCCATATAGAAATGGAATCTACCGCTCTAATGCATGTGTGTGAGTATTCTTTAACTCACTGCAGCACAGGGGATGGAAAGAGGAAACCTGCCTATAGTGACAGGAAATATGGGGAAGTAAAGCAAGAACATGTTAGCATACAAACTGACAGTTGAAGAATGAAAAACATACCATCAGTAATAAAGATAGCAGCAGCTGTGATGAGATGTAAGTGGTGTCTTCTCAAACAAAGCGTTAAATTATGAGTTAATACATCACCACTTCTACTGCCCCCTTTACAGCACTGTACAGTAGGGCTTCTTTCAGCAACATAAGGAAAACAGAGATTTGTATCTGATGATTAGCTGAAGTTCATCACAGTGTAAGTCCTACACTTCTACCGCTTAAGTTAGCAACCGATAAGCTAAATTGCTCTTTTACTGTCAAAATGGCTCAGCTGAGAAAAAGAAATGTGACATTTAGCTGATTTACAGGTGGACAACGCAGGGAGTGAGGAGTTTCTGCCCTGGAGTGGAGTTGATATGATCTAATAGCAAACAGCGCCTCTCAGAGGAACCATTTAGCTATTGCTAACCTGGAAAAAAGACACAATCTACAACAGCTATTAGATTCTGTTAGCAATCACTGTTTAATAAACCTCGTAACATTCACAGACTATACAATACTTTTCAGTCAGTGACTACTTGCAATTGTACGTTTTTCTAGACTTTTGTAAATGGAAATTTTACATTCAATTGCAGTTATTTAAATGAGTTATCAAAATAAATCATGTGCATTTATTGTTGGTGTTGGGTAAGTGATTCTGACATTTATAAATGAGTTTAGACCTACTTAAATATACTGGACATATTACACTCATTTGGCCCCGTGGTTAAAGAAGTATAAAGATTGATTACTTAGTTCAATGTACTTTAAGATACACAAAAGTTGCACATAAATGTAGTGGACAAAACAGTACAATATGCAACTCTAAATATAGTGAAGTAGATGTATACAATAGAATAGAAGTAAAACACTTAACCAAAGTACTAGTACAGTACTTAAGTAAATGTACTTAGTTAATGTCCAGCACTGCCATCTTATTGTGTAATTGAACATGCTGCAGTTACAGTCTTACCAAACACTGTTACCTGCTCCGCCTCACCTTCAACCAAAAAACAGATTTCTTATTGACGCATTTTTATTAACAAAAACATTGTTTGTGCAAAATGCAAATGACTGATACACACATATAATCGTATTCAACAAGAAAGCATTGAGAAGGAAAGGAAGGAATCAAACAAGAGAAAGAGAGATCACAGATTGTATCTATTAATGCTTTAAAGTAATATTTTCATGTGATTTTAAATGTAGCTTTTACATTGAACAGATGATGCACTACACAGAGGCAGCTAAAGTAGTCTGCAGTGTAGTGTGTACCTCAAGAGTGTGTGTCTTCATGTATGTGTGACATGTATGTGTGCATATGGATGTCACAACCCTGAGCTTCTATGTCTTTGATCTGTCTTTATGTATGGAGAACTAAGGCTGCCATTATATAAGTACATGAATCAATAAATTACCTAATAAATAATTACATTTGAAAAAGAATGTAGAAATAAAAGCCTTAAGGAGTCGGTAATTATGCAGATTCATTTGAATATACAATCAATTGTGCACAGAAATGGAAGAAATACATATAATGTATTTGTTTTTTACCAATTTCAATCATTTACCAATTTATTCTTGTTTGTTCAAATTGTTTTGAGTTTTTACTTATTCCTCTCTTTACTTATATCCTTGTGTTTTCAAATTAATATATTTAATTTGTTTATTTTTCTGTGCATAAACTGTATGATCATTTAAATAACCTGCATATTTATTTGATGATTAAGGCTTTTACTTCTAAATGATTTTATAAATGTATTGAGATCCATTGATCCATTCGTGAAATGTTTACTCTTCCATACTCGTGTGTGAACAGAATATATCAAAAGGTGTGTGTGCTTCTAAGAGTCCTGTGTGTGTGTGAGAGTGTTTGAAGGCGAGGAATGCCTGTCCACCAACATCTCCGTGTGCTTCAGGTACTGAGCTGTCCTTCTCATCACGGACTCTCTGCGGATCGGATCGGGGTCTCCTGGAGAGAGAGACACAAGAATACAAAGATGATTATTCTCAATTATATTGGCATTACCGCCCTGGGGTTGCAGATGCAGAACGGCAAAGGGGACAAAGAGGAAAAGAGAGGGGAGAAAATGTGAAAACTCTTGATTAAATTCAAATTGATTTTATTGATCTATTTAATCAGAAATGGCAAGAATAAACCAATCAATCAAAGACATTTGAGCTCAAAAAGGTTCTTGACAGCGGTGGGATTTGAACCCACGCCTCCGAAGAGACTGGAGCCTTAATCCAGCGCCTTAGACCGCTCGGCCACGCTATCATGTAAAGGCTCACATGTCATCGTCCGTCAACAAATAGCGGAGGGGGGTCAGTGACTCCTCTGCCAGAAATAGATCACTGAGTCACTGAGAAGCACACCGTAACCATAGATAACCCATCAGGGAGGAGTCACATGTTAGCAGATACCACACATACTTTGTTGTAGAGAACACCTCACAGACTACATTTAGTATAACATCATAAAGTGAATATTTCTCAGTCGTTTATCAAAATAAATAAATAACCTCTTAGCCAATTCTACCTACTGACTCCATGATCATTTAATCCCTTTTCATTTTTAGTTAGTAGTACTTCATTCTGTCTGGAGTTTTCTTTATCATCCTACAGTTTTTCACACTTCAGACTTGAAATTAATTTCAGTCGAAAATATGTTTATAGAACATATAAACGTATTTTATATGTTCTAAATATACTCAGGTCTTTGAGCTACACATAATTTTTTACTTTTCTGTATTAAAAAAAAACATGTTCACTGGCGGCATATTTAAACTCACGTATCAAAGAGACTGGAGCCTATATCCAGCACCTCAGACCATTTTACGTAGTCTTTATCAATATTTTGTTACTCAAAAATCTAAAGAGAAACCGGTTGGCATTGACATAGGAATTGTGGATATACCATAACCTGCATTTCCCACAATCTCAAACACAGATATACATTTTGACATGATTTGAGCCGACGCGTCAACATGAATGAATGACTCTTCTACAGTTTGAGATCCAACATCTCTGAAATCACACTACTGCTGAAAAAGCACACTGGCAGCGGTGGGATTTGAACCCACGCCTCCGAAGAGACTGGAGCCTTAATCCAGCGCCTTAGACCGCTCGGCCACGCTACCCATAAAAACATACTATCATGCAGACGAGCAAAAGAAAAAGGCTTTGCCTAAGAAATCATAAATCAATAAGTCATCAGTGATTAACAGATTTCTGGCAGAGCATTCACCTTTGCTAAATGGATGAGGTCACATGTTGGTGTGTATCAGCTGTGTGCAGAGCATGTGTCAGTGTGTGTGAGCAGCATATCAGAATATGTAGTGCAGAGCAAATATGGTAAACAAGATATCATAGTTAAATGCACAATGTCATTTGTGGATATGCACAAACTTATTTAAACATAGAACATTTGTCACGCAAGTTCATGTCTGTTCCTATGGCAACAAAGCTGGCTCATGCAAATGAAATGTAATGTCATGCTTCATGCAGGAGTGGGCATGAGCATTCAGGTAAAATACCATATTAAAAATGGTGCATTGAACACACATGCCCTAATAAAAGATAATATATGATATGGATTATTTGGACATATGTGCATTTATATAAGTATGCCATGATACTATGCAATTTGGTTCAAATCAATACAAACGCAAAGAGCCTGCAATTGATATGAGAGGCTCATTTAACAAAATCAGTTACATTTATATCAACTCACAAAAAAAAGATGAAAGTGTGATTTGACACTTGCACTTCTTTTTTTGTTTTTAATGACAAAAGAATAAAAATAGAAACTCCTGTTTGTGACACAGGGGCCGTTTCTCAATCGCGAGGATATTGGCTTCCAAGCCAATATTTCAAGGATGCTACGTCATCAAGTGGCGCAGCAGGACCGTTCCAATGTCCAGCATACTTGGAATTCCACCGAGGCCGCGCAATGCTTTGCGCACGGACCAATTTCCCCAAATCTGTGGCGGAAAATGTAAGGCGGGGCCTCTCATATGACGCACACCTGCACACTTGCTAGCCTGTTCCACTCTTTGTTTTCCGAATGCCAAGGTTCAAGGTTCAAGGTTCTTTATTGTCAAACTGACATAGCTACAGAGTAATTATGTCGTTGAAAATCTTATGTCACAGGCTTCTCCAACAATGCAACATAATAATAATACAGATAGTAAGAGTAATACAAAAAGAAAAATAGTTCTAAAAGAAAAATAGTTCTAGCCAGGAAGTATTCTTGCCTCGCTTCTGAAGCAGGTGACTCGGAAGACATGTGCTACCAAGCAAGCGTACTCGCGATTGAGAAGCAGCCATGCATTCCATGGGATTTTCAAAATAAGGGCGTATCTTAAAGATGATAAAATGCATTTATGTTTTCACTTAGTGTCAATGATATGAGCTCATTAAAATAACTGGTCATTCAATTCATCGATATGTATATTAACCCTACATTTTTTGCGTTTCGTTAGCATGTGTGTCTTTGATTGAACTAAATACTTTATGCTGTCCCTCCTTTTCTCTCCCCCACCAATTCATCTTCCTCAATCCCTCCACACTCACCTTTTACTCCAGTGATCAGTGTGTCCACGGCCGTCCTGTACCTGCGGATGGCAGAACTGAACTCTCCCTCCTTCTCCAGCTCCATTGCAGCTGTTAGCTCAGTGGCAGCTTGGTTTAGATAACCCACGTCCCCTCCGTCCAGACTGGTTGGTGGCAGGGAGAATAAGTCTGAGTAGTCAGTGCAGGAATTGGATTTATCTAGAAAGGAGAGATAGACACAAAAAATAACAATTAGAACTGTTTCTCAAAACTAGAAAAACTATAGTAAATATTATCTAAAAAAGTCACTTTGCAGCTGTCTTAATATATTTTGGTGATTGGGCTGTTGGTCAGACAAAATAAGCATTATGAAGTGGTCAACTTGGGCTGTGGGGAATTATCATATAGACTTTACAGTATTGAAAAATGATTAAGAAAATTGTCAGAATATAAATTGATAATGACAAAAACTGCTAGTTGTTGCCCTACTTAAACGTCACTATACCCCAAAAAGCGTGGACTTTGAAGTCAACTCTCAAATCCAAAAATAAACTGCTCTTTCTACTGTTTGATGTGCAGTGAGAAGAGTTTCTGAAAGTGCATTATCTTATATAATTCTTTAGGAAACAGCCAATGTATTTGTTGAAATGTAGCCTCAATGAGCTTGGAAATTACTTTTTTTTAAAGACCATAGTCATAGACCATAGATTTATGTTCTACATTTCAAGTACAAAATGTTGGTCCTCAGAATTAATACGATTGCTGAAAAACTTCCTTGGCAGCGATGGGATTCAAACCCACGCCTCAAATGAGACTGGAGCCTTAAAACACCAGCTGCAGAATATTGGCCAATGAGAAAGTGAGCTCCAACATTGGTTGGCCAATGAGAGTGCGAGCTCCAACATTGGTTGGCCAATGAGAGTGCGAGCTCCAACATTGGTTGGCCAATGAGAAAGTGAGCTCCAACATTGGTTGGCCAATGAGAGTGCGAGCTCCAACATTGGTTGGCCAATTATGTTCGTTGCTCCAACATTCGTCCAACATTTGACCAATCACGGCGAAGAAATGTTGACGCATAGAAGGCAATGTTATAACTCCTAATCCAGCGCTGCTCGGCCACACTACCTCTGAAAAAAGCATTTACTCTGGATGGGAACCAGATATCGATTAGGCACAAGCAAGATTAGAGGGTTGTGATAATAACATTTGTACCAAAGAGCTATTTCAATGATTTGTTATGTACTTCTCTAACCGAATGCTTGCTATTTACCATGTAGCTGAATCATTAACCAAGCTCGAAGAAATAATTTCTATTCAGATAAAATGTCATGCAATAGCTTGTTTTTTCTGACCATCTCTTGTGTTGCACAGCGTAGGGTCAGGATGTGATGAAGGGTCAGCTCAACATAAATGCCAAATATCCACTCTTAGAAATAGAAATAGACTTATTTTGGGAAATTTTAAGCAGATCAGTACAACTGAAGAACATCAGAAAGCATCACAACTTTACATGTGGATGACACATTAAGACTAATTTAGGCAGGAAGGTCTGTAAAACAATAGTCAACATGGTCAATTGTTACTTGACTAAAAAGCCTGTACAGATTTTAGAAGGCTGAGTATTGCATATCCATTCACATGTATTTCACCTTGTTTATAGCAGGGGTCAAAGACAGCCAAGTCATTATCAGTCAGAGGAGGAGGCCCTTCCTCTTTTGGGGATGAGGCTAGATCTTCTGCCACAGAATCAAACAGGGAGTCAAACTCTTCCTGGGACTCAGGTGATAGGGGGATTTCATCTTGGCATGGGTCGGGAAATGGAACTAGAGATGGAAACATGGAGCAAAAGGTAAAAACAAGATTAATAAAGAAAGAAAAGGACACACATTTGTTTGCACATCCCCAATGTTACTTTTTGTCTGTTTTTTCATTGTCTCTTAGTTGAACATTGTGGAAAAACAGACACTCCATTTTAATACAATACATTTATTCAATAAAATTTGATATGAAAATAAAAATAATACAGTGAATTCAATTTAAGAACTTAAATGTAATTACTGCTTTTTATTATACATTTAGTGAGTGTATCTCTCCCTGTCATGTTATAAAGAAATTTCTTTATATGTCTACAAAACACCATATTTGATCAATTTGAGGTTAATGTATCTGTATGCATGGTCCTTGTTTCATAAAGACATATACAAAAAAATGAGAGGGCAATGACAAAACAAATGCATTTTTTTCATTTGTCCCCGCCATACTTATGTCATCCAGCTCCGTGTCGCTGAGCTCCTCTTGTTCTGGTTCTGGTTCTGGTTCTGGTTCTTCTCTCGGAGAGCCCCCCATCTCGCTGTAAGCCTCAGCGGCCACCTCTGGTTCTCCCACCTCTAAGCTCAGGTTGGTGCCCAGGTCCTGGGGTAAGGTGGGAGCCTCCCTCCCCTCCTCCTCCTCTGCAGGTTCACAGTCTGAGGCTCTCCGCTTGGGGAGGGGGATGAGAGGGGGAGGCAGAGGCCCGGCAGTGGACAGAGGGGGGGCATCCAGAGGCCTCGTGACCTCACCACCCTGAGAAAGAGCAGGGGGGGAAAGGGAAAAATGGGATAGATGTGGGGAGAGAGAGAGAGAGGGGTTGTAGAGAGGTATGTTTTATTAATGCAAAATGAAAAGAGCTGTAATGAATTGTTAAATCAATCAATTACATCACTAGAAAAATCACTGGCTATTTTGATAGGGGATCTATCTATAATTAAATCTTTCAAGCAAACATGTGTGAAAATGTTCTTGTTCTCTGTTTAAATCACATTAAAGTGAATATACAGTTTTTATACTGCCAAAAAAAGACACTTGGTGACATCAAATTGGACTAGAAAAAACCGGGAAAAACTGGGGTGGACATTCAATTTTCTAAGATTCTTTAAACCAAACAATACATTTAATAATCTAGAAAATAATTGGCAGATTTATCAACATAAAATAAATCTATGTATCTTGGTTTGAAATATGTTTTTCATTGGGAATATCAGTTTCACTTGCTATATGTGTGTGTGAGAGTCTTACTCTGAAGAAGTCCTTGAGCTGTGGGCTGTTGTAGAGTGCAGGTATGCTGGTAGTAAATAGGAGCATGGCCTCTGTAGCTTGTCTCCTCTCCTCTATCACAGCTTCATCAAACCTTCCTGAAAAAGAAATAAGGATTCTTTTTAAAGTACTATAAACGGTGACTGTCCATCAGTATATGTCTCAACTGTGTTGCTGCATTTCCAATTGTGAAAGTATGTAGTACGCTGGGGGGAAGTGAAACAAGAGCCCTTACAAAATGCTGAGAATAGGCTAGCTGGAACAAGTGGATCATCAACAGATCAACAAGCTATCGCACAGGAAAGCTGAACACCTTAGAAAATGCTTTTGTGTTGAATGACTTTCTTTGAAAAACATTGTTGTTGTGTTATCCGGCCAATGTCGCACATTCAGTGATTTTATATAAATGTTTAGCCATTATACCAAAGACTTGTGCGCGGGGAAACGATGGGAACTCTTCCTCTTTTCTGAACAGGTTCCTGTGAGTGTAGGCCAGCTCCCCGTGGAGCTTCTTCAGCTCTGAGAACCTCCTCCACACGACCACCTCCTTCACATCTTCTGGATGGCGCTTTGACACAAACTACAAATTAGAGAGGAGAGAGGACTGATTAAGACACAAAAATAACTGCTATAAGAAATTGCAATTGCAAAAACGCCCACATTCATTAACAGAATAGCACATAATAACATAGTTTATTGGCCAAATATATTAGGAAAGCCATAGTTTCTTATTATTGTGATTAGTGTCATTTTTTTTGGAGTACAAAAAAGAATAAACGAAAACCAATTCATGATTATTTATCTCCAGACAATAGTTGTGACATTCTCAATGAGTAATGGAGTCATTCAGTTGTTGTGTGGTAATATAAGGGAGGATGAATCTCTGTAGATATGGTCCAATTTGATTATGTATGCATGCCAGTGAAGACCACGGGGTGGTCATGGGGGGGGGGGGGGGCTGATGAAACTCATGAACTGAATCACAAGTTCACCTCAGTGTTCTCTGTACACTGCTGCCTGAAATAAAAGGCCCATTGTGTATTTATCTGTCTACTGAGCTAGCTGCTTTGTTTTTATGACTAGCACAGATGTGACTCCATTGTGTAACAACAAAACAAAGTCACTAACTTCTAGTAAACGTCCAAAGAAAAATGGTACAACATACAAAACAATATGCTGTAAGAGAAATAATAAAACATGAAGGCAAATAACGGGTAAATTAGCTTAACACAGGGTTGTTAAGTATGGTAACAACACATGTCTCTGTAGCTAAGGAGAGATAAAAAGTGAAAACCAACCCTTGCTGACACTTTGTACTCGGTGTGTCCCTTCTCGTGTGCGCGTGGGTCGGTAACGGTGAAAAAACGGTAGTATTCATCTTTAGGTTTTCGTGACATCTCCCTTCCCCGTAGAAAGAGTGTTTCAGCGGCAAAAGACACAGGGCTGTCAAAGCAGAAGTAGCTCTCTGTTGTGATTTTCCCGTCCCTCCTCTTCGCTCACTTCCTGGTCAGTGACGTGTGCAAAATACGTGATTGCGTGTTGTAGAAGCGTCAAGTTGACCGACAAATTGCTTAATTATGTTTTCTCTGTATTGTTAATATGATGTGTATGAGTAGCAGAAGTCAAATATATATATTTTAATGTATATATTTCTATATATTTAAAAAATATATATATTTATATCTGTTGTTGGTGCTGTATTACTGAATGTGATTGTGTCATGTTATATACTTTACAGTAAGTAGCCTACTTTTATTACTGTTTTAGATACAGTTTATACCTCTAAGTGTATACTAGTTACATACATATATATATATATATATATATAACACACAACAAATAAATATATATTATATATATAACACACAACACCTTTATTATACTTTATTTTACATTTAAATTAGGCCTATGTTTATGTTTTAGCTTTATATTAATACTTGCACTATTTTATGTCGATTCTCATTGACCATGACCTTCATTCATTTTTGATCATGCCTATTAAATGAGCATTGTTAGGGAGAGAATGGGATAATGCCTTTGCTGCTTTTTTTCATTAAAAAGTAATTTAATGCACTAATATGGAAACTTCAGGACGTTAATCATCAGGATTGTATTTGCAAAAAAAATCTCACTTGATGTAAAGACCAATTTAATTCTCCAGAGGGCGCTAAAGGTTAATATAATTTACCCAGTGAAGTCTAATCTAAGTCTAAAGTGGAAAATCAACTTTAAACTAAATAGAAATACTGTAACATGATATTTCTTGAGAATGTATTTGATAATACCTCTTATGATACAACCAATATACATCTGCATTCATACATTCTGTGTTTCTGTTTCAAAGATACTAAAATAAGAAAAGCACAAGCAGGTCTTGGCCTCTCCCTGTTAGAGACAATACAACAAAGAGAGAAAAACAGACTTTGTTGTATTGCTGAGGAAGTTCCAGCTGTGCATTCATATTGTACATAATCCTTTTCATCTCTTTTCCAGGCTGTTCTTTATTTCCCAGCTTTTCTCTTTGAAGTGAAATATTTGAGGGCCTTACTCAAACTTAAATGTACTGACTGAAATGATCAAACTATTCAGTAGTTCCTCGTCAAACTGTTTTGTTTTCTGTAGTCAAAATCTTCCTCAAGGTCTTAACAAGCTTCACTGAGTGTGAGATCGTGTCCAGCAGACTGTAGCACAAAGGTCACTGACACTGCTTTCTTCTCCAGGTAATTGCCTGTTAAATTGAAGGGAAAATGTGCAGCACACACAAATGAGGTAAATGTTTGATTTGAGATAACCTGTGCATCTGGTTTGGCTTACAGTAAGTGATGTAAAACTGACTTGCTCAGAGACAGATGGAAGTCAGTGAGGTTGTGTTCAGATTACAGTTGAATGTGTTTTTATCAATGGTGGTAAGTGAGCAGATTTAGAATACAAAATATAACCACAAATTATAATAGACTTTATAGATTGGTGGTCAAAAACCAGAAGCTACCCAGATGTTTACTTATTTTTCTTAATATATCTCACATTTAAGGGTAATCCAAGTACTTGTGTTTCTATTCACTTTAATACTTATATATTTTACCCTTGATTTTACTCATATGTCAAGTTATTGTATTTTAGTTTACAAATTTAGTGTACTTATTTTGCTAAATGTATGACACACTTAATGCTATTCTGTTTTGCTCTGGTATACTTCTTCCACTACCGTTACTGATGACCTATTTCTGTACTTCCACACAGATAGACGACCTTATGTGCATATGTTGGTGATAATACGGTATTCAGTGTTTTATATTTTGACATGTCATGTTCAAAATAGCAGAGGATGGTTTCGATCCATCGACCTCTGGGTTATGGGCCCAGCACGCTTCCGCTGCGCCACTCTGCTTCACAAGGGGGAGGGGGAGAGAGAGAGATTAAGCCCTGTGAATTGGAGCATTTAGCATTCTTCTCACAGAGAGCCACATTCTTACGTAACATGCAACCATTGTTGGAGAGGGAGAGGGGGAAACACGAGTGAAAAGGAGGGAGAAAGCAGTAACAGTAGACCAGGAAAGCTTTATATGAAGGACAGAGAGGAAATAGTGTGTGAAGGAAAAGAAGATGAATTTAGACTGGGCAATAGATCATTATAATGTGCTGATTTAAAACATATATAGGGTAAAAATACACCAATATTCTTTATTATGTCATGAAACTTGGAAACAATGTTATGTGTAAGGTTTGCTTTGCCTGCAGTAGTAGGACAGCATTTTCTTTTGTAATTTTTTAGATTTAACGTCTTGTCAACAGGATGTGTTGCTAATAGTGCAACACATGTAGAATCTACACAATGTGATTTGATCTTCAATATATTCTTGATGTATACATGTCGTGATTATACTAATGTGATGAACTGAGTGTGTCTGCTCTGTCCTAGCTCTCCATTCTCACAGCCACATTAAACAGTCTCCCCCTTTGTCTGTGAGAGAAACTAGGCCACATATATGGAACAAAAAAGAACAGAGTGATTTATTGCAGACAGAAAGACAAACAGAAGGGGAGAGAGACTGAAGTAAAGTTATTAAAATGTACAACCAAGGCATAGTGTGTGTGGTTGAATGTACACCCACAATCATATCAGTGGAGCAATACAATTACACAATATGACAAAGTCCCAATGTGATTGAATATAAAGACGTTTCCTTTGCAACTTCCTCTGTAGATGATTCACTTAATATCAGTGCTACATCGTGGTCTATAGATTTCCCCTCAACTGTAGGAGTGCTCGTTGCAGTGAGGCTGAAACAATGACATGAAAGCACAAGACCTCAACCAAACTGGTCTAAACTGGCTTCGGTCAGCTCTTTTTTTTCCCAAGCTCACGCTGTCTTGCAAAATAAACTCTCAGGGATCAGACACGGCTTTACTGAGGCCCTGTGTGTATTCATGTGTGTGTGAGTCCCTCCAGCCCTACAGACTGATTTGTTACAGAACAAAGCAGGGAACTGCAACTCTGGAAGTTCAACTTTTAGGAACATTAGAACAAAAAAAATAGTTTATTACTAATAATTCTTAACAACAATGATAAATGTGTATTTGTCTTGTTACTAGATCTTTATGCCTACCTGCATATACATTTAAATAGTGGTCTATGACTATGTTTTGTGCAAGTTGTGTGATCTCTGGAATAACCTTGAATATGCTTTAAGAATTTGGCCAAATTCAAGTGACAGAATTAACCATGAATCCCTTTTTTCCCCTGATTTTTCTATGACCATATAACCCTTGCCATCAAATCAACTTAAAGGGAGACAGTTGCATAGGGAAACAAAATTACATCAGTGACACTTCTCAAGGTATTACGGATCTTAAGGCAATATTGTGTTCATGGTTTTTTGAAATTGTACGTTTAAATAGCCTATGCGAATGAGGCATCACCTAACGCTGGAATCTACAGAAGCAAATAGACAACATTAGATAAATAAACAGTAAGATGTGTAATTTGGATGTTTTCTTTCCACTAGTCTGAAAATGATTGAAGCAAACCAGCCCAAACATGTTTTCATTTCATTTCATTTCAAACCTTTATTTATCCAGGTGTATCCCATTGAGATCATTGATCTCTTTTCAAGGGAGACCTGCTCCACATGAAACATAAAAACATAAACAGAACAACAAAAAGGACATCATACAGCATCATTACAGGGATTACAATTTACATAACTATCCACATGAACAGGTACCAACAGCTTCCGATTGAGTAGCATCCAACCGAGCTTTAAAAACATTTAGTGGCACCAGATTGCTCAGTTTCCATTTCAATTGCAGACTATTCCAGGGCAGTGGAGCTGCGCATCTAAATGCTATCTTCCCTAAGACAGTCCTAGCAGTTGGCACATTTAATAAAACCACAGCATGTGATCTCTTTTGCCTGAAGTGTCTTGCTTTAACTCCACAGTAAGCAGTTCTGTCTTCCTGAAAGTGCTTGTGATGCACAGTAATCCCTGCCTGTTCCCCCCTGCTGACAAATATGCATCAACTTTGCCCTCCTTTCTTTTCTCTCTTTTTTTGTGCATTCTTGCTGATGGATTTGGCGGTACTGTCCCCTCCTTTTCTGCCAAAACCACTCTGGCTTTACAAAAGAACAAGTCTCAGGGTGAATGATTGTGTCCTCAATGAACCTGTCTCCACTGTTATGGCAAAGTTGCACCCTCTCTTAGAGTTTAAAATGCTGCTTGAGTCTGTTATCCTGCTAGTTTTGGTTGTGAAGACTCAACAGACAACACATTTTCTCTTTCTCTGTGTTGTGTTTCCTTTAATACTTGTGGCCATGTTCCATTCCAAATATTGTAGCGAGTTTAGTTACACCCCTCAACTCATAAACATGTTTTCACATCCCTGCCCCCTCCCCTCTTTAAGTTTTCTCCTCTTTCTTTTCGCTCCTCCTCCTCTCAGAATCAGGTTTATTTGAAAGTAGGTTTACACATACAAGGAATTTCCTTTGGTGTATCTTGTTGTACAAATCAAAACAGTAAACAGAGTTAAGTTGTAAAAGCGAAAAATATGAGGAAATAAATACACAAAGGTGCAATAGGTATATGACAATCGGTATGGGAGAATTACTCTTGTTTTCTGCCTATTCCTCTTGTATATTGTCCTCAAATCTCCAACTATCATACACAGATGTCTTTCCAAACATTGTTCCATTATTTGTCTTTAAAATCTGAAAAGTTGGTCAAAAGAGGAGAAGAGATTAAGAAGATAAAGTCTAAAAATAATAAAGACTGTCCCATTGACATGTATTATACGTCTCTCCACTATCTTTTCTGGTTCAACAGCACAGGGTGTTTACATCAGCTAGTAGTCAACAGCTCTGTTACAACTCGTCTCAACAAATGTGTGCTTTACAGGCCGGGCTAAAAACAGAAGTAGATGATGTGTGTCTGAGTTTGTTTAGAGGAGAGCGATGGTACCTACTCTACAATGCAAAAATAGCTTCTAAACACGTGTTAAGGGATTTAGTTCCTGTCTACATCCAAAAGGACATCATTGACGTTATTGAAGTTTACTGTTCTCAATAATCGAGGTTAAAGGATGTCAGTGATCAACAAATAAACACACAGCAGCCCATACACCCCCACTCATTTGGATTTTTTTCTACAGGACCAACTGTTCTAGACGAGAATTTGAGAACCTCTTACATGACGTCACGTGTCCCAAGGCCCAACAAATTGCTTTGAATAAGAGTGAAAATGGGGCTTTTGCTGGATGTGTTAAGGTTTTTGTGATCAGAGACAAACCTAGACTAAACAAAGTACATGCAGGAGCACAAAACAAACACACACATGCAAAGGTTACACCAGTAAAGTAGTGGAGAGTGTTTCCAAAATTGGTCAAGTAAAGTTTTGTACAGTTGCAAAAATAAAAGACAAAAGATAGATTGCACACAGTCCTTTTCTGTTTGCAGACATTTTCACACTCCTCTTTGTAATAATTACAATACACATCAATGCAGTACACACTTTAAAGTACACAAATACAGCCTGAAACATGCCACACTACTTTATGTCATAGAGATTCTGTGTATGCTTTTCCTAGAAGTGTGCGGCTGCTGTAACTCTATGAAGGTAAACAACAGCTGGAGAAGGCTTCAGGGCAGAAGCACAGATGGAAACAAAGACAAAGTAAACAACCTGACATAATTGACTGTTGACAAAGTGTTTTTACTGTCGGCCTGCTTTTGTTACTGTAATTCAGATCCTGTTTAAAAAAAAGAAGACATTTTATTGTAGAAAATATGGTTAAAATAAATATGGTTCCTTCTGGTCATGGTTTAAGAAATACATCACATTTACATGAAACACTCACATTTAATCAATTGCTTGCAAACCATCCAATGTATCTTTTTTTGTTGTCTATATAATCTACTTTTAAAGACTAAAAATAGACTTATTAATACATGAGTATAAAAAGTGATTTATTCAATGATCTGCTTAATACAGGAGTAATGTTTCCTTACCAGAGAACATTGGAAGGTTTGTAAAATGTCTTAATGGGTTTTAACGCATTTTAAAACTGGTCTTTGTTCTATTGATGATGACTATAGCGAGAGCAGGATCCTATCAGGCTGAAGATATTACTCAGTGAGTGTTTGTCACTTCTTATTTGAAGAGAATAACTGTGCAAATGAAGTCTCCATGATAAACCAAAGGTGGGAATGGGAGGGAAGTGGAGGTTAAATTATATCAGTGAAGAACAGAAGGGCAATCTGCACTAATCAAAAGATTAAAGGCCTCTCCCTTAGCCTGCAGTAACCCAATCAATACCTCTATCAGCTCCTCATCAGCATGCTAACTGATTATATTATCTCCAGGAAACGTTTGCATAACCAAACTATTAGACCATGCATTTCCACTGAAAATGTTCAGGCTACTCAGAAATGTGCAGCATCATGAATTTCCTTATTAAAATTGCATTTCTTATCTGTTGTAAGTATTACAGGGTACATTTAATATTGTTTTAATTATTATTCCCAAAAGAAATGACATACAAATCAGTAAATAACACTCAGGAATTACATTAAAAAAAAAATATGAATAAGCCAACGCTTAAGCTTATTATAGTCCTTTTACACAGCATATTTGTATTTAGGCAACCTCTCACTTAGGCCAGGGGTGTCAAACTCAAGGCCCGCGGGACCTCATTTTATGTGGCCCGCAAGAGCTTGCAAAGAATATAATATACACTACAATTGGCGTAATTGTTGAATATTTGCTTTCAATTATGTGCCCTAGACTTCTGCTTTCAGACGTAGTTATTTATGGAGTTATTACCAGAACTGATAATAAACCAATGCAGAACCAATAATGTAATATAATACATTATTTTATATTTATTATATATTTATATATGTATATTTATATAGTGTTAAAGTTACAATCGGCCCTTTGAGTGCAACCATAATGCTGATGTGGCCCACCATGAAATTGAGTTTGACACCCCTGATTTAGGCTATACAAAAACCAAGTTGTAAACATTTCATATCTAATTGAAATATATTGAGTATGTTTTATGTAGTTTACCACTTTTGTTTAAACTAGGGCAAAGGTTAAACGTGTGTAAAGACAGACACAGTACACATTTAAGGATACTTGTGTCCCTATGCAACACATCCAAAAAGATATAGACATTATACATATTTTATTATATATACAATTTAAAGAATGATGTCGAATACATTTCTAAAACCTGGTCTTTTGATATTGAAATGATTGTTGGTCTGTAGAATGAGTGTAGCCTAATGTGTGTGTGTGTGTGTGTGTGTGTGTGTGTGTGTGTGTGTGTGTGTGTGTGTGTGTGTGTGTGTGTGTGTGTGTGTGTGTGTGTGTGTGTGTGTGTTTTGTGGGAACAGAGAGATATTATTGGGCAGTCCCTCCGTAGGCGTAGACACCAGAGCAACTACAAATACAGAGCGAGGATCTGAAACAGGATTAGTAGGCTACTCAGCACAGGATTATCGACTGAGAAACAAAGAAAAAATACAGCACGGAGTCTAAAGCTTTTTACAGGTAAGGTAGAATCCACTTTATGGAGTTTGTTGCCTCAGAACAAGCTCAACACTTAACTTAATTTAAACTTGAAAACGCTTTAGAAATAGAGTAATCACTGGAAGTAGCATCGTGTGGCAGCAGATGACGTAAGGATGGGTTAGATTTCATCATTAATACAAATTACACGATATAATAAAAAATGGTGTCTCGTCGCTCATGTGTTAAATGTGTAATCGATTTCACTATGATAAACAAGTTAAGCATACGATTCAGTTAAAGATTTGTAAAACTACTGAACGTTAACGTACTAAAACAACAGCTTACTTCCGGTTTAATGAATAAAACATCACTACATTTCAAAATTGCAATAGTTAGACAATGTTACTTCTCTAACTTAGTTTGTATTTTCAATGTTATTTTTATTTCCGTTAATTATGCCGCTGTTTGAGTCACGTGAAGGCATCATGTCCATAACTGCAGCTGTTTCAACTGTTGAACACACTCACTATAACACACCTTTTTAAAGAGATGTCTGCCAAATTTCACTCTTTGTTAGAGCTACACAAGCTATAAATACAAAGAGCAGTGTAAATAAGAGTAGTGTAAATTGCTAAAGTTAATTTTCTGAGCCTTTATTCACTTACTTGCTCCGAAAACTGAGCTAGCTTTAGCTCAACAGGCTAACATTATTTTTTAATTAGGGTAAATGAAATTTAAAAAGTAAATGAAAGGTACTATATAAATAAACTTGCCTTGCCTAAATGGCCACAACCCGTTTAGCATCTGTTCTAGAGACTCTAAAGTTAATTATTAAACTATATATAATTAAAAAGCTAAGAGCTAGGTTATACATTAGGGTTAACACGTGTTTTTGTACGAGTAATTTAAGGGAGTTTTTAATAGAAAATTAGATAGATAGATAGATTGTACTTTATTGATCCCAAATTGGGAAATTGTTTTGACAAACTGTTATCTGAATCATGAACTAGCGGATGACACTAGCTAGTTCATTTTAAGTGTTTCATTGGTTTCACATCCTAACTGGAAAGTTCTCCATGTAACAGTTAGAATAACAAATCAAGGAACTTGTTCTTTCTCTCAATTTTGATCTCAAAGTACTTTCCAGAGAAACTAAGGCTGCCCTGGAGAAATAACTCATTAACTTGACAATCTGTCCCTCTCTTTATCTCTACCACCATCTCTAAAGAAATCAGATTCAACCATGACTAAGGACGCAGAGATAGACATGAAGGAAGTGGAGCTCCGGGAGATGGACCCTGAGAAGCAGCCCATGACTGGTGATGGCCCGCCTGCAGGTGGAGAGAAAAATGGCACCGTGAAAGTGAAGGTCCCGGACAATGAGGTTACCTTCACCGGCCTGTCCAAAGAGGAGCTGATGAAGGTTGCTGGAACTCCAGGGTAAGATAAGACTCAACAAACACCTCATTAGAAAAATACATGTCTTCTATTGCTTTCATATTTGTTTAACCCCACTCTTAATTATTTATGTATAGATGGGTGAGAACCCGTTGGGCGCTTCTGATCCTCTTTTGGCTGGGCTGGGTTGGCATGCTGGCTGGAGCCATAGTGATCATTGTCCAGGCCCCTCGCTGCAAACCCATCCCCGAGATGAACTGGTGGAACGAAGGACCCCTGTACCAGATCTCTGACTCTGAAGCTTTCGCTGATGGACTCGCAGGTAGAGTACCTGTTATTGATCTAAATCATCGGTTATTTTGCAGAAAAACAATATATCCTGCAGCTGTAATATTCACGTTAGAGTCAGACTTATCTTTAGAGTTTGGAATGGCCTTGATGTTGTAATGTTGTAACCCACACTAATTCACAAAGGATAAGGCTTGTGACAAAGTCTTGAGTTTCCTTCGGTCTGCGTGGCCTGTTTCAGCTGGCCTGATACCAAACTGCTGACAAGGCTGACAAAGAGTGACTCAAGGTCTAAATGACATAAAACGCTTACAAATCATGTCTTTCCTTTTTCTCCTACTCACTTGTTAAGGTCAAGGCAACCCAGTACTTCTTCTTTATTGGTGTTACCATAGAAGTTCTTTAGATTTGATTCCTCTTTTTATTTTCTTTCTTCAAATTACACTTAACAAGGATAGTGAAAATGATTACCCACACATTTCCAATTTGGATTTATTTCTCCCAATTGTTATAAATGTTCTTTCAAGGTGAAGGAAGAACAGGGTGTACTGCTCTCCTTGTGAATTACTGGGCAGCTCTCGGGTTTCCAGCAGGCCTTGGGCTAAATTCCAACAACTGCACGTGACTTGTTGGTGTTTTCACACACAAGGCCCTTTTGTGCTCAGACTGCACATGGCCAGCAGAGGGTGTTGGGGGTGAGCCATTCACATGCTCCTGCCTTGAGTCAATAACTCGCTAAAAGAATAGCTCTTTTTACTTAGCTGTCTCCTAACTCATCAAAATGTCTCTCGAGCCTTTTGTCGTCTCTTTCTACGTCCCTCCTACCCTTTACAAATCAACTCCCTGTCTTTTTCCTATGTGAAACCCCACTGACAAAGCCTCCCTGTCCCTCTGTTTCTAGGCGTCGAAGCAAGGTTGGACGAAATCAACAAGCTGAAGGTGAAAGGCCTGGTTCTTGGCCCTCTTCACACCATCCAGCCCGACATGCCAGCCACCTTAAATCTTAAAGAGATCGACCCCACCAAGGGAAATGAGCCAGCCTTGCGCGCTGTGCTGGACAAGGCTCACAAGAAGGGTAGGTCATCATACGACTGTAATCTGATAAATGGCTGTAAAACCATAGTCTTTATGAACCACTGACTCATTCTCCATTGATAATAAGAATAGCATCTCATTATTGTTTTTACTTCTCTCAGGTATTTCTGTGGTGCTTGACCTGACCCCAAACTACCTGGGAAGTGCTCCCTGGTTCAGCCCTAGTGAGCTCAATGACGTGATGGAGAAAGTGAATGTATGTTCCATGATCCTTTTTTCAGTATCTTAAGTGAGATACTAAGTGTTCTTCATGTGAGGAACTGTTCATCCTTGCTGTGGCTAAAGTGTTCATGTTGTCTTCCAGGATGCAGCGGAGTACTGGCTGGATTTTGGAGTTGATGGCATTAAGGTATCTGACTTCACTTCGGCCACCAACTCTGTTGATTGGTCCAAGTTCCAGGCTGCTGTCAAGGGCAACCTCACTGAGGAAACCAAGAAGAGGTAACTACAGCTCACTAACTTTGGTTCTGCATGATTAAACATCTTTTGCAGGAACAATGAATGTTTAATTTAATAAATGTAGCTCTTGCCTGCAGTATAGCAACATTCGTTTACATTGGGAAACTAATTTCACCTCAATTGGGACAGAACTAGTAGGAAAATAATTTTCAAAGCGTCGTAAGATGTCAGTCTAACCATGGCAATGTTTCCTGGGGTCGAGATTAAAAGCATTCCAGTGCTGCAGGGGACTGTAGGTGGGGAAGGGAGAGCTAGATCAACAAGAAAGGATGTGGAGCTTTACTCTCTCTGGTGAAGCGACACCTTGTGGAGGGTTCAAGGAATGACTTCTAAAATATCTGATTTGTCTTTTGCTGATACAATATCTAAAAATGATGCCACAATTTAGCATTTTCTATTATTAACAACCAGTGTCAGCAGTGTAATCTCACCACATTGTCTTTCTCTCAGGGTGCTGATGGGCGCAGTTGAAAATGTTTCGGATGTGGAGTTGTCTGAGCTTGTTAACACAACAAGTGTAGATCTGGTTCTGTCCGACCTGCTCAGCCGCAGCAATGGAGGTACGCCCATGTTTTAAAGTGTTTTTGACTGGTTTGTCGTTATTGAACAAAGCAGAAAGGCTGTACAACAATCATATCATAGTAGCATACACTTGAAAAATGTCAAGACCTCATGCACTTTGTTCTATAAACTTAAAGGTCCCATGTCATGGCCATTTCTACTGATCATAATTCCATTGTTGAGGTCTACTAGAATAGCTTTACATTGTGCAATTTTCCAAACTCACATTGGTTTCTCATACAGCATCTCTGTATAGTATGTGTATTCACTCTCTGTCCTAAACGGCTTGTTGGAGCTCCTGGCCCCCCCCCCTCCCTGTGAGCCCACTGTGCTCTGATTGGTCAGCTCGCCCACTCTGTTCTGATGAGTCCACCACCGTTACAGCGGAACACCAGTGATTATGTGTTACAATGGCGTTGGCAACCAGAAAATGCTACAGGGTGTACTTTGAGGGTTTGTGACTTTGCAGACCGTTTACATGCATAAAAAGCTACATAACACACAAGGGGACGGGTAATAACTAGAAAAGCATGACATGGGACCTTTTTAAAGTAACATACCTAGCTTAGTATTGATCTGATTGAGTGTGAAAGGATAGCATTTCTGTCAGTGTAAATGTCTGCTTTTGTGTAAAAACAACCAGACAGAGAGATAATTTTATCTGAATTTGTGCAGGTGTGCAGCGCATCATGGCCATGAACACCCTCAGCTCTCAGCAGAGGAGTGTGGCCTGGGGTCTCGGTGCCGCCCATGAGGACCAGCTGTCCAAACAGGCCACCACTCCTGCCCTGATCCGGCTCTACCAGCTGCTGCTGTTCACTATGCCTGGAACCCCCGTGTTCACCTACGGAGACGAGATCGGCCTTCAGGCAATTGTAAGCTACAAAACGAAGAAATTCAAGTTTTAAAAAAAATGTGTTTTATTACCTCAGCTGTTACAGAGTGTAACGTTTTTCCTTTTGCGTTTCCTTATCAGGGATCAGAATCACCAAAGATGGTTTGGGACATAGAGAAGGAACCTGTTGAAGGAGCTGCTGTTAATGACACTGCTGAGGTAAGACTGTTACAGAGTCTACATTTTAAATTAGTTAATTTTAGCCTTATTTTATTTTGGCTTGTTTACAGGTTGAGCTCTAGTTCAACATTTCCTCAATTCTCACATTTACAGGTTCAGCGAAAAGAATACGTTGCTGTGAGGAAGTGGTTCAAATCCCTCAGCGAACTGCGAGTCAAAGAGCGCTCCCTCCTCCACGGCGACTACTACCCTCTCTCCTCCTCCGCCTCCTCCCTCTCTTTCCTCCGCATTTGGGACCAGAGCGAGAGGTACATAACGGCGGTCAACTGGGGAGCAACGCCTGAGACGCTCACATTCAAACTGGAAGCTACAGGCAAGTTCAGCAGAAATATTTAGTTTAAATGTTATGTATCCATCCCCATATTGTTCATTATTTAACAACATGATCTTTCTTCCTGCAGAGGGATTAGAGTTGCCAGAAACGGCCACGGTGAAGCTGGCGACAGATGAAGCTCTGGTGGTAGACTCCACCGTCCCCTTGGACAAATTTGTCCTCGCACCCGGACAAGCTGTCCTGCTGCAGTTCCCCTAGATGGGCTAAAGATGGAGCCAAACTATAGAAAGCTATGCACACATCACTTGTCTTTAAAGAGAAACTGAAGTCAGTCCTTATCCTTAAAAATAAGATTGGATAGTCAAAAGATTGAGAATTTCTTTTTACTTTTTTTAAATAAATATACAAGATTCTTTAGTCAGAACATAAGTGAATAGGGTCAAAGAAAGTCTGCCATCCAAGCCAGTATAAACCCAGGTGAATGTTTCTGGTTTTTAACACACATTTTAGTTTTAATCTTGTTGTGTTGGGAAAATGCAACCACTTAAGATATGCACTGAGCATTTTATTCTTTTGTGATAATTTAATGTTGACAACATTGTCCAAATATGTGAAGACATTCCATTGTTTGTTCTTTGGGCATTTCTTTGGCAGTCCTTATTTTTCTTTTGTTATGTTTCTTTTCTTTTACATTTTAAGAAATTCCGTTTTAGTGACAGTTTTTCTGTCTTTTTAACATCAAGGGTGACTCTGAAGTCTTTTTAAAGTGCTAGTAAACAACATTTTGCGATTGGCAACAATTCTGACAAGTGAACTGAATTGGAAATAAACAGAAAACTAAACTGTACCTACTCTGCGTATGCCTCATGTTTATTTTTATATGCGACTACATTCTTATAAGATTGAGTTCTTTGAGCTTAAGATCATATCAGATGAGACGTTCACTATTTTCGGTACGTACAGGTGTGTGTAAGTGTGTCACAGATGTTAGCGGAGGAAGCACGTCTCTATATTTGATCAGCATCTTGGATGGGTTTCATCGGCTTATTGTACTTGACTGAAATGTACGCTGTGCTACGAGTTTCACTAAATGGGTCATACATGACTGTCTTAAAGTAATACGGTCATAAACCCTGACTTTAATGCCAAATGTATATGAAACTATGTGCATTTTATTTTAGATAACTTTCAATATCCCCATCTCTGAGAATATTCTCATAAATTAAGTGATTTATAAACAAACTTTCTGTAAGATGAATAGGCATTGACATCACGTGGATGAGTGAGCAATTTTGTCTATATTAAAACATTCTCTCTGTGCAAACTTTTCCCGCAGATGTTTTTTATAAATGAATTATAGATGGGAATAATAGGACTTTTCAATTGCTAAAACCTTTTGAGAGAAATTGCCTGTGTGATTGAAACCTGCTGTTCCTTTCCTAACATTAGTGCTTCAATTATTGCTCTTTTTAGTTAATGTTAGTGCCCCTGCTTGAATGAAACGTTGCCTAAAGGAGTGCTTTACACTGTCTACTTAATCTTAAAACTGTCTGTTTTTTTAAGTGGATTTTTGTAAGTGTTTTAGCTATTGTTCAGCCAGTGACACAGAAGTAGAGCAAAAAAACAACTGCTTTATCAACAAGCCGTTAAAAACACAGGATTATGATATAACTACTTATTTTACTCCTGTATGAACTGGAGTCCAGCCTGATGTCTGGCATGATGTTCCTCAACGACTTGATATTAGTACATAATGATACTTTTATTAGTCATGAAAAGCAACTAAGTACATGTATCTAAGAACAGGTTTAAAGTACTCTGCTGCACATCAGACAGAACTATACAAATTAACTTTATCTGGCAGCTGTAGTACTAGTTCATTTGAAGTTCTCATTTTTAAAAAGAAATCACATTTTGAAATAATATTTTACAAATGTTAGATTTAGCAACCAAAGAGTTTATGAAGTAAGGTTGGCTACATCTCAACCAGCTACTATACAGCAATACAATGTTGCTCAGACATTAAGGCATCATTAATAAATTATACATAATTATTATTACAACTCTGAAAGGGAGTTTTCTGCATAAGTAGGCCTTCTTTCCTCTTTGATTCAGCCAAATGTTTGAAACCACACATAATATGTCAATCAACTATCTAAAAACCAGAAAATGTAACTTAAAATTGTATTAAATGAAATTCTGACAATGTGTGCTTTATTTTTTCTGTAAAGAAAAAGTGAATTTCTGACCAGTTTCATTTGCTCTTATGCGTATGTAATCTCCAACAACCTGGCAATTTGTCATTTAAGTACTTCAATTTAAAATCATCCTTTTGATAAAAATGTCAAACAGTCCCTTTAACAGTTGAAACTCAGGTTAATTCTCAGAGTTTCAGGGTCTTAGTATAATACAGGGCCGCTGTGGTATCGCAGGGGAGGTTTGAAGTTGATGATACCGGGAATCAGAGCCCGTCTAAGCACATCACCCCACGCCGCTCTGAAACCCAACCACCGTCTCACCCACCGCCGTGCACACTCATGACTGACTCTCAGTCTGAGTCTGACATCACAGTGACATGAAGATACCTGACCTTTCATCAGCTTTCACTGCAGATTCATAAATGATTTTTTTACACTGAAATAATCCACTCTTACATGTTACTATACATTAGATATCCATGTGATTGAAAACGACATCCATATATTTAAAAAGCAATCATAAAGCCAGTCCCTCTACTCAACACTTATTTTGTATAGATTTGTATTATAAATATATAAAACATGCTTGTTTCCAAAGATTATTTTAGTGAGCTTCATATTGAGGTTTTGGGAATTTTTCAAAGAAATTTCACGTCTTGAAATATATACTCTTACACCTTGGATGATGAATGAATGATTATTGTCATAAGCGTCACTTCTGTGTTGTGTTAAACAGGGCTGGATTAATTATTTCACGGGTCCTGGTGCAAGAATGAGCTGCTGGGCGTTCTTCTTATGGCATTATAACAGCAAAGAAAAACGATAGTTACGTCTGTAACTACGGTTCTATGAGTCCCGGATGACCGCCAGAGTATCCAGTGCTAAAGCACCGCCTCTGGCGGTCAGTAGGGACGGAAAAAAACACAATACAACACTGGAACACCAAACCTGTCTGGTTTCTTCCACCTTAAATAATCAGGTAAGTTCTGAAGACCAAACTTGAGCATTTAAGAGGTTTCAATCAATTTCAGTGATAATTCTCATTTCCACAAGACACCCATCAAGTACTTTTTCTTCTCCTGAATCATCTACTGTACAAACTTTGTTTGTTTTATTAGCTAGAACTTATTGGCCTTTGTGGGCTCAACATGTTTAATTTTATTAAGGCCTAGTGAATTTTATATTGGTACCCACTGCACCCATTGCAGTTTAACAATACTTGCTTTCTTACTGGCCTCTGTGTGAATTTTATTGAACTTAAATAGATTAATGACCATTCAGAATATAAGCACAAAACTGAAAAAATACCTAATTGCCTCTCCATTTGACAGAGAAAGAACCCCCCCCCCCCCCCCCCCCCCCCCTCAAATAAATCGTTTTACATTTTTGTGGTACAGAATCGGTGTTCACTTTTTTGCCAAAAGTTAGATGAGAACTGAACTCTCAGCTCAAAGCTATAGCCTCTGTGTGAACAGCTTAACTTGGCATAAAGACCGGGAACAGAGGTAAGTAGCTAGTGTGCTCTAAGTTAACTGCCTGTCTGTACAGCTCACTAAATCCTATTTTTTAATTCTCTTTTCCTTCTTCCCAAACATCCACCTCTCATGCTAACTACTTCTCCGTTAGCCGGCCTCGGATCCAAGGTACATTAGCTTAAAATGCTAATTATGCTTAACTACGCTAACTGGTTGCCTGCTTAAGCTACATTGCTATTATTAAAATGAAAGTTGTATTTATTTTTCCCTCGAACTCCAAGCAAGGAATCTTATGTGACATTTTATTTTTGTTAAACTATTTCCAAAACTATTTCCAAAACTATAACAGGTGTGTGTCAGCGACTTGAATGCAACTTGACAGGGACTTGACTGGGATCCAAACATCCACCACCTCTCCTGCTAACTCCTTCTCAGTTAGCCACCATTGGACCTACAGTTGTAGATTTATCAGGGAATGGGACCGACGTTAAGAAAGAGGAAATCCTAAAAGAATATTTTGACATTTCGGAAATCGATTTATTGGCTAGAACTATCTGAGTACCTTAGCATGAGCCTGACATATTAATTTAGCATAAAATACAGCAAACAGTAACATTGGCTTCCTTGGCTATTATTTATAAAAGCAATACAATGTACCTACCACAACTTAGGCTCAATTAGTAACACATATCTGTTTGTGGACAGGGCCAGTTTATTTGTTTCCCCCTGTTACCCGTCTTTGTGCTAAGCTAAGCTAACCTGCTGCTTGCTGCAGCTACCTATGTACTGTTTTAACACACAAGTTGTATTGATTTTCTCATTTCACTCTGAGCAAGGAATCAAATGAATGTCATCATTTATATTTAAATGTTCCCAAAACTAGAACATGACTGGGACTCATTTTTCCTGCAAATATTCACCCGGAAATCCAAACATCTTCCTCTCCTGCTAACTCATCCATTCATCAAGCCTCAACTCAAGGTATGTCAAAATGTTAATTTATCAGGGAATGGGACAAAAGTTCAAACTAAATACACTTCTTTGAGAAATATACAAGTGATAATGATCATCTATCTATGCAAATAAAATAAAAAAGTTAAACCTTTTCTTTATTCCCCCCCAAAATTAGAACAAGGCTTCACAACTGCAGTTTTTTAACTATCCTTTTACTGTTTATGAGATTTGAAAGGACAAAAGTGCAAATGTCTACCCGTAAAAATAATTTAAGGTGGATACTTTCATATAACATTCTCATAACTGACCTCAGACCTCTTCAAATGTAACGTAATATCTCCTGGACAAACCGCTTTCCAAAATGTTAAAGTTATTCTTTTGTATTAGCATGCATTTGGGTTCCTCATTAGCTATATATGTGTGTCCAACATTAGGATACGCGTGTGTGGCCCTTTGAAAAAAACAGATAGAAGAAACACTCAAACTGAAAGTGTGTGTATGTGTGTATGTAGCTTACTGTATGTCTGTGTGTTAAGTTGAAGCCGCACACTAGGGTGTTTTTCTCTTGTTTCCACCATCAGTATGACACACACACACACACACACACACACACACACACACACACACACACACACACACACACACACACAGTGCCATTATGACAAGTGGATGAAAGACTGAAAGATCAACTGTGGCCGCTCATCTTTGTAAAGCTACATGTCTCTCTCTTTCTCTCCTCCCCCTTTCTCAAACACATGTGCACCTACCAGAAGATCATACACACATGCACTCCACCGCCTCCTGATCGGAATGACAGCCGAACAGGTAAGAACACACTTTTATCCTCCTTTGAATGATTGTTTAAGCACAAATAGGCGATTTTCAGAGTTACCTTTATCCAAAGAAAACTTTTTATAACTATTTATGCCCCTGGAATTTACGAACAAGTGTGCAGATGTAAGCAACTTCATGGGTTAAATGATGAGAGTTGAACTTAACTTAGAACACAAGGTTTGCTAAATGAATTATTGATAAATCCAGTAAAATCTAAAAACGTTTTGAAGTCACAAATGCGAAAACATGTTTATGAAAGTACCATTCTGATTCGGATATGTGTTCCTCGCGAATATGTGATACATCTGATTGATAAGTCAATGTAGATGCATATTGCATTGCATGAGAAGCTACAAAAAGATCTTACTCATTCTCAAACTTTACTT